GTACCTGGTACGTACCCTACGGAACCAGTCAATCGGCAATACTACGCGTTACGTTGCTGCTCAATCGAAATTACGTTTCACAGGGTTCCAAAGCAATGTTAATTTAACATTCCAAATGTTAGCAAGGCTATGTAGAAACGAGTACTGCGTTTTTTGCTTCAATTTGACGTCCTGAATGCTCTGCTTAACAGTCTGATTCTTCCTTGTTTTTAAGGTAGTATGTGCAAGACCCAAATAATTGTTTTGGGAAGGTAGCACACTACCACATTGAATTGGTTATTGGAATACTAGTCGGATCCACATACTAGGCCTAGTACGGTGACATAATAACACTCCTTATGTTAAATTAGTAACATTGCTGGTGCTGCTGGGGGGAATGCCCTGTGAAACGGAGGAGTTTCAATTGATCTGCAACACGTAGTACTACACATAAAATAACAATTCAGTGTTCTTTAAATAAGGGGTTGGGAACGTTCAATTAACATACAGTTTGTTACTGCTGCTGTACTTGTATGGCAGGCCCTGCAGACATTAATACTGTGGTTTTTGCTTGAATTTAATGTTCTGAATGCTCTGCTTAACAGTCTGTGCTTCCGTGTCTATCAATTGCAGTACCATTCATGTAACAAATAATTGGAACTAGCATCTCATCATTATTTGGGACACACTTAGTATCCTTCCATGTTTTCAACCACCATTGCCCGTGATGGAGTTCACAAATGAGAGTGTCTTGTGTCAGTTCAGGATCCCGGCGGGGATAGGTAGGGTGCACGAAATAGTGCCTCTTTTAGTTCACAAGGTTAAATACAATTTGAAGATCTTTCTTTACTATAAGAGTATGGTCACAACTGGTGGTGTTGACAGCTAGTACCACTACTACAGCACTAATTGATTTATTCTTGTTGTACTAGTACTAGGTACCTTTATTGTTGTATCTACTACAAATACTTGTCTTGGTTGGTGATTTCTTCTAGTACTAGTATTTCACTCTCATGAATCACCAGAATCAGCTATCAAACATTTTTTTCTACAGGAAGAGCAACAACTAGGAAGAAGAACAAGGAAGAGCAAGAACAAGGAAGAA